AGCAGTAGAAACAAACCTGAGTGCAGTCACATAGCATAGGGATAGCCTGTAGCTTCCATAAACTCTTAGATCACCTATCTCTAGCCAGATAGTCAAACAAGACCTTCCCCACAAGTTCCCCTGTCTCTCCTCCACATGGCACACTCAGTAAACTCAGCCCTGGCTGCACACTGAAACTGTCTGGGTGGTTCTGAGAGAGAATAATACAGCCTCTACCCAGAAAAGATTCTTATCTAATGAGTCTTAGGTAGGATTTGGGTATTGATATCTTCTTTGAAAAATAAAAACACCTTTCTACACGGTTCTCATGTTCAGTAAACTCTGAAGAGGAGTACTAGAGGGAAATCATCAAGTATGGAAAACATCTTTTTTAAAAATTATTTATTGTTATCATGAAGGTGGTTTACAGAGGGGTTATGGTTACATAAATCAGATAAAGAGTACATTTCTTTTCAAACAGTGTCACCCTTTCCCTTGCTCTCTCCCAGTTCTTCCCAACCACAATGTATAGTTCATTTTCAAAATAAGGTCTAGTGAGTACCACTGCTGCATTTGTTTAGCCTTTGTCCCTCCATTTCTGTGCGCCCCCCCCCCCACTTATCCTCCCAAAGACAGATAAATGAGCAAACAAGACAAAGGGAAACAGAACAAAAACAACAACAAAGAAAACAATAAAAGGAAAACCTCTTATTTCTACTCCCTGGAGTTCATTTGGCTAAATATTATTGTATATGGTCAGGTGAATGTAGCTATTGTGACTATGGGATCCTCTCTTAAGAATATCCTCCTTTGCTCTCACTCTGTGAATGCCTATAGCCCTGTAATAACATCATGTCTCAGTGTATTTTTTTCCATACTGCGTATTTACTTGTAGATTTATACTACAAATGAGGGAAACCATGCACCCTGTTTCTTTGAGTCTGGCTTACTTCACTTAACATTATTTTTTTTTCCAAGTCCAAGGAAAGCACAGTTGGACCTTATGTCAAAGCCTCAGAAACTGAAGCTCTGTTGGTTCTGGGAATCAGCCATAGGAGTCAGGTCTCTGCCAGGTAGGGTAGAGGGAAACAGACTCACTGAATGCAAAGGAAGTCAGTGTACAGCTGCAAATGGGAAACACTTGGGCAGAGATAGGGTTGAGGAAAAGGTTAAAAACTGGCTGGACCACAAGGATTCTTAAACTTTAGCATGCTATGCAAGAATTGTGATCTAAGGATGGCCCCAAGCAGCAGCTTGAGACATGATCTGGAAAAAAATAACTAAAGCAAAAATGGTTAGAGGTATGATTCATTGGTAAAGCACCTATCTAGGATGCTGTATGCCATTCATTTCATCCCTAGGAATTACAACAAACAAAGAATTTGCATCGTTATTTGACTGGACCCAGGAATATATGCTAAGGAATGGTGGGCAAGATAAAGCTATATACTTAGGCCTTAGTTTCCTTACTGATAAAATATTTGGTTAGGATTTCTCAATTCCAGCACTATAATCTGTGGGGTGGCAAAGATCTATCCCATACTGTACATTGTCATTGTCAACTCACTAGCTGCCAATAGCATCTTCTTCCTTAATTATCCCAACAACAAAAAACGTCTCTAGACAGTGTCAAGAATCTCTGAGAGATGGCACCTAAACTATACAGATGCCAGAAAATATCTCCATTGATGAGCTGCACATGACTGTCTGTGATGAGAGACTGAAAATATGACAGGCATAGTACCCTTCTGTAGAAAGGAGTTGAGAACAATGACTAAAAACATATGCTTTGGTACCATTTTGCCTGATTTTAGACTTAAGCTGCCCCCATTTACCAACCAACCAGAGATTATCAGCCAAGTTTTCCCTTTTTGTTTTTACACAATTTTAGAGTTATAAAAATAATACAGAATCCCTACATATCCCTAACCTAGCTTCTCTCAGAGCTACAGTGTGCCTCAGTTTCTTCATCTATAAAGTGAATATCTAAGACCGTTCATTTCACACAGTTGATGGAAAACTTGGGCGGGATAACTTATGTTTAGTATTTGTAGTAGCACCTGCTACTTGCTAAGAGTTTAAGAAATGTCCATCTTTATTTTTGGCTTATTCCTTGTGGCCCTAAAATCTCCCCAAAATGTGTCCTATCTGGAGAAATAGACTCTCATAAGTGCAGAGGTTTACCTGGCAGCCTTGCCATTAGTTTGTGCTTACCTCCATCTAGCTGGGCTTAACATTTAATCATTATCTGTCTAGTTCACCTGCTTCTTACCCTAGTGGATTTTCCCAGAGCCTGGGCTTTAGACCTAGGCTTCTTAGACCCTGATCACAATCACATTCCAGTAGATTGACCGGAAGACTGAAGTTTCCTCGCAAGCAATCAGCACAGCCCCTGTAAGCAGTCTCCTGTCCAGTAGGAGCCATGCAAATGGAAACATTTATGCACACTAACGCTCCAACATTACCCTATCCTGCAGTCTGTTCAGCACTCTCCCTCAAGGGCCCCCCTACAGAATTTTACACAAAAGCACAGATGCCTCCAATCTAAAAGTGCATCATAAATTCTTGCTGAGCATGAGGTTTCTGGGCTTCAGTGTTTGTGATGAATGCTGAGTCAGAACAAACAGCAGAAAGAAAGGGTCCTAGGTTCTCACCTTGGCCTCCACCCAAAGGTAGCAGAGCAACTTGTAAATACTAATTAAGCTTATCTCTCCAACTCCCCAAGCAGGAAAATGCTCATTGTATTTTTATAGGTGCTAGGAATGGAGGTGAAAGAGAATCAGCCTTCCCCAGCCTTATAACTTGCAGAATGGAGAAGGCAGCCAGGGCCTCCAGAGCATAACTGGGCTGGGCTGGACTGTAAGCCTCACACAAAGCAAGAGAGTTCATCTGGTCATTGACAAGCTGAGATTACCTCTACTAGGAAATAGCATTGCTATTCTGCATGTACAAAAAAGTTTCAGTCTCCCACTAATTGCTCAGAGCTCAAATGCATTCAGTCATTAGAGCTTTGCTTCAGGACAGGAGCTGAATTCTAATTGCAGAACTGCTGTGTATTCTGGAAAATGCTGTCCTTCCAGGAACTAGAGATAGTCTTGATGGTGGTAGATGGTCCAGCTATTCCTTTCACGCACTCATGCGTGCATGTGCATGCACACACACACACACACACACACACACCTGCAACTAAGTTCCCCTTGGCTATTCTATCATCCAGGCTTCACAGACATGCCTAGAGGCTTATTTTAAAAACCTATACAATTCCTAGCTTTCAGATTTTGCTTCCAAGAACTCTGAGAGGCTGGAAAACCACAGAGCTAACCTGCAATTTAGCTGAGCCAGGCTAACCTGTCAGTTTGTGCCTTTTGCTTTCCTCCTTGTGGGGCTGGTGGCTTTTTACACAAGTATTTGAAGCACAAGCTGTGAAAACACAAATGACTGGGGTTTGCTCCTGCTTGTCTTCTTGCCACCAGCAGGGCGATCTGGGATATAGCTCCAACCAAGTCAAGCTTCAACATTAAATAGCCTCTGCTTCCAGCTGGCATTTAAGACAAAATGGAGTCTCTTTAGAAAGGCACTCATAACAAATCAGGGCCTGGTCCCAGCTTGCCTTTACCCTATGACTCTGGTTACCCCTTGCCCTGGACTGGATACTCCAGCCACAAAGAAGTCAGGGTTCACTCTGTGCCTGTGTTCTTGGGGGGAGGCCAAGAGGATCCAAACTGAGTCAGGACTACTACCTGCAGCGATGGGGATCACATTAGCAATTTCCTTGGGGCTGGACTTTCTAAGTATTTCCTATACACCTAGCTCTTTATGAACCTTGTTTAGTGGTTAGAAGAAGCCTGGAGGTCCAGGGAAGGGGAAGAGGCACCAATGTCCTCATCACCTTGCAGTGGCCAAGAGCACAGACTAGAATCCATTGGCCTCCATCAAAATCCTGATGTTCCAGTGAGTGGCTCCATCACCGTGGCCAAACCACTTTGCCTGGCCAGGCTTCTGTTCTATCACAGAGAAACAGAGACAAAGAGATTCAAGTGTCCCTCTAATGATAGCGGTGATGCTCAAATGATTTAATATATTAAAACGTACTTGAGTGCTGGGCACCATTGGCTCATGCCTGTAATCCTAGCTACTCAGGCGGATGAGATCTGAGGGTTACAGCTCAAAGCTTACCCGGGCAGGAAAGTCTGTGATATTCTTATCTCCAATTAACCCACAAAAAGCCACAAGTGAAGCTATGGATTAAGTGATAGAATGCCAGCCAGATTTGAGCAAAAAAGCTAAGAGACAGATGCCAGGCCCCAAGTTAAAGCTTTAGTATTCACATTAAAAAAAAGAAGAAGAAAGAAGATGAAGGAAGGAGCAGGAAAAAGGAGAAGGGGAAGGAGAAGAAGGAGTAGGGAGGAAAGGAAAAGTGAAAGAAAGAAGAAAAGAAAGAGAGAGAGAGAAGGAAAGAAAGGAAAGAAAAGAAAGCTTTTAAATCTTGATTTTGATAAGAAGGAGGGAGGGAAGGAAGGAGGGAAAGCAGATAGGAAGGAAGGAGGGAAAGATGGTAGAAAGAAGGAAGGAGGGAAAGAAGGTAGGAAAGAAGGAGGGAAAGAAGGAAGGAGGACAAAACAACTCAGGGGATGGGGTGTAGCTCAGTGGCAGACCCTTGCCTGCCATGTGCAAGGTCCCGGGTTTCATCCTCAGTACCTAAAAGAAAAAAAAATCTCAGAGCAATGCCTGCATGTGGTCAGCATTAATATCCATCCCTACAGACAAAATCATAGTTCAAAGTTAAAACAGTTGTCTGTAACTCACTTCCATCCTTGTAGCCACAGTGTTATAAAATATGGAATGGGGGAAGTGGACACGTTCCTAGTACAAAGGGCTCAGGATCTGGTCATGGTGCCTGTCCATCAGTGAATGGACCACAGGACAATGGTCTCGTTAGCATTTGACTATGGATTTCCAGCTTTAGTTACCACCCACCAGTGAAGCGCAAAGGAAACAGTGTTCTCTGATTGCCTCTCTAGGTGAAAAGCATCCAAGATGCCATTAGAGATAAGAAGCCACGGTTCAACTTCCTTGGAGAGGAGATTTGCCTGAATCCTTCTGTGGGCATCTTCATTACCATGAACCCGGGCTACGCTGGACGCACAGAACTGCCTGAAAACCTCAAGGCTCTCTTCCGGTAAGTGTCTGTCAGTTCTGCCCCTAACAAGGGCCTCACAGAGAAAAAAAAAATCTTTTTTTTCCCCACTGGAAATAGATTATATATATAGCATAGAAAATATGGAACATATAGGAAAGTAGTTTTTTTTATAAACTACTTGTAAAGCCATCACCACAACTTATTTCTATTGACTAATTATATTTGATTATTTATAGGTACATTTTAATTTGGACATCTATGATCTAAATTTATGCTTTATATACTGGTTTACATTTTTTTCATTTCATAGTCTATCTTATTTTTTCTGTTAGATATCCTTAATAAATTTCATTTCATGACTACATATTTTTCCATCAAGCACATGATTCACAATGTAATTAACCAATCCTTCAAGGATGGTTACTAAGACTGTTTCTAGTATTTAAAATAAATTCACATAATACTCCAATGTACATTTTTGTATACATATATAAATCTTTTTTTGGTATGTATAATCATTTTGTTTGGCTAGCTTCCCAGATGTGGAATTACTGCGTTAATGAGTAGGAACATTTTTAAGGCTTTTGATATGCATTGCCAAGTTACTTTCCAAAAAAGCATAGTACCAAATGACATTCCTAGTCATGGCATGCGTAGGAATACCTCTTTTATTTCACCTTGCCACCCGTGCACATTGCTATGATTTTAAATCTTCTTGATTTTGATAAGAAAACACAAATGTGTTTCCTAGCAGGAGTTACAATCTGCATTGCTTGTTCAGGAAAGTGGTGTTGGCTCAACAAAGAGAAAAAGGAAGGATGCTTCCTGCCTTCTATTTTCCTGCTTTCTGAATTTTCACCTGGGAGAGGCAGATAATGAGAAGTTATGGAAAAGCTGTTGGTGTGCTTTGTGGACTAAGAGACCTAGTGCTCTCTGTCTGAGGAGATGGTATCAGCACATTTGTGGGCTTTTGGAACCCTTGGAGCCCACTGGGCCTACCCTGAGGCTTTAACCCTAGTACGAGCAATTGAACTACCATTTGAGCTACTCCTCCAGTCCCTATTCTGTTAGCTATGAAAGTCGATTCTTTCTTTATTCCCTGGGCTGGCCTGGGCTGCAATCCTCTTCTATTTGTGCTTCCCCAACTCAAGTGGGGATGATGGGCACACCACATCTCTCAGTCATTGTGTTTGCCCCATAGCTGGAATAATAGGTACAAGCTACTATGGCCCACCATTATACTTCCTGCTTAGCTAGAAAGACAGGTGCATGCCACAGTTCCAAGCCATTGGCTGAGATGGAATCTCTCAAACTCTTTCTGGCCCAGACCAGTCTTGAACCACAGTCACCTTATCTCTACCTTCCAAGGTAACTAAGATTACCTAGGCTTGAGCCACTGTGCCTGCTAACCTCTTATTTTTAAACTGCTCTAGCCATGCAAATCACTATGTGAATCCTACCTCAACCAGAAGTGCTGCAACATTAACCAGCTGTCTAAACTGTGCAACAGAACGCTGCATTGTTTGCTGTCTGTTTACACAAAGAATTTGTTAAGTACATTCTGTGTAACATGCAATATCATTGGCAGTTCCTTCCTGTATACACATTGTTCCTTGTTTATTCCCTAAATTTAAAAAGAACTGTTGGATCCATCAGGCTTCAATAACAGCCTGCCATAGATGGAGCGTCCTACACAGCAGGTATTTGTTTTTCACAGTTCTGCAGGCTGAGAGTCTGAGGTCAGACTTTCACCCTGAACGGCTTCTGGTGAGGGCCCACTTCCAGGCTGCAGAAGGTCAACCTCATGTTGCACCATCCTAGGGCAGAAAGCAGGCAAGAGGCTCTCAGGTCTCCGTTTATAAAGCCACTAATCCATTCTTGAGCTTGAGCTTGTGAGTCATTGCCTCTCAAAACCATCATATTGGGGTGAGGATCTAGGAACTTATATCTGAACATTCTGAAAAAATAAGAGAGAAAAAATATTTTTGTTTCTATTTTTATTTCATTTTATTATTTTTAGGTGTGTTGTTGTTTGGGGTAATTTTTGTTGGTTAATGTTGTTTGGGGTTTGTTTTTTGTTTGTGTTTTGAAGACAGGGCCTCATTGTACAGGCTGGCCTTTAACTCTCCATCCTCCTGACTCATACTCATGAATACTAAGATTATAGTAGTGTGCCACCATGCCATGCAGAAAAATATTTTTGAAAACAATAAACATAAACATCTCCTTTTACATTTAATTATCTCAAAGACCCTGTGATAATATTAATTTCCACTTGCACGGTGGGTTCCTTCAGCAGTAATCCTGGTTACTGCTTAGTAAATGACTAGTAAATGTAGAACTGGATTTTGAACCTAAAGCTTTTCATCTCCCATCTAAAACCTTCACCTACAGATAATCCATGGAACTACTCCATATTTCCCAACCAATTCTGTGCCAGCATTTCCCAACACAATTGGGATCCAATTGTGCATTGTTTTGTATCTTGCTTTAACAATTTTCTTCTCCAGCCGTATTTTTCATGAGCACATTGTATTCTGTTGTGTGAGCACACATTTAGTCTTATGTTCAGGTTGCCAAATAATTTTCAGGATCTAAGTATTTAGTGGCTCCTTTGAATTTGAATACAATGTAAAATGTCTCAAGGAAAAGAATGTGTACTTGAGTAAGATGATGGTTTGGAAAAGTTTCTATCAGTGTAGGGGAAAAATGCAATTAAAGAAATGTAAAAAGTTTAAATTCTTAAAATATACATTATAAATGAAAAAACTAAATTATTTTAAAGTGGGTGTAGTGTTACATGTATGTAATTTCAATACTTGAGAATCTGACTCAAGGATGATCCAGAATTTTTTTAATATTTTAATAATCTTTAGGTAGTTGTACAAAGGAGTTGACAATCACCAGAACAATTTGTGAATACAGTACATCTTGATAATGTTGCCCTTTCCAAACCTACTCCTTCCCTTGCTTATCTTAATTTTAGTTTATGTATTAAATGCTTGGCAAGATAACAGAGAACTTTATGTGTACTATGCATCTTGATCTATGCTGCCACTGCAACAGAGGATCCAGAATTTAAGGCCAGTCTGGGCTATATATCGAGAATAGCTAAGGATGTAACTCACTGATAGAGTGCTTACTCAACATGTATAACACCCTGAGTTCAATCCCTAGCACTCACAAAAAAAAAGAGTCATTTTAAAATCAAATAGTACTACTGTCAGAGGGGACAGGAAGCATACTTAATCCTTATACAATAGACAAAATCCTCTTTCTTATATATGACATTTTATTAATTAGAGTGAGGTTAATAGCGATTTATATTTGTATTCAAATAAGTCCTGGTTTCTGGGGTTTGGAGGAGACATGTGTCCAGGATGAAGACAAGGAGACTCTGTTTCTTGGTCATACCCAGGGACATTCAGTCTCAGCCCCTAACCCACCTGTTCTAGACAACTTGTTATACTAATTCCTGCCTTAGGTGAAGCACATAGGGCTCAAGTCACAAAAGCAGAGGTGTAGCATCCACGCTGCCCCCATCTGTCAACATTATCTACCCACTTGGGTAATAGTACACTTCCTTTACCTTGATTAATTTATCTGAACCTTGAAGGTCTGGGGCAAAATGAGGGACTCACATGAGTTTTGCACACACACAGATGCCCCTCCCCCCCCCCCCCCCCCCCGTGTGATCTGTCAGCACCTCCTACCCCACAGACTCTACTTTAACTCTGTGGTTGGGGCTCTGTCTCAGTCTTTGTCTCCCTGTACCCAGGCCCTGTGCGATGGTTGTTCCAGACTTTGAACTGATTTGTGAGATCATGCTGGTGGCGGAAGGATTCCTGGAAGCCCGGTCATTAGCCAGAAAGTTCATCACTCTTTACCAATTGTGCAAAGAACTTCTCTCCAAACAGGTAGGATCTCCAGGAAGGCTGATGGCCAAGCACCGTGCCATCTGCCCAGCCCTGAAGTGTTTCTGGGGGCCAATAGATTAGGCTGTTCTCTTTTTGTAAAGAGTATTGCCAGGTGCCCGGTGATCCATGCCTGTAGGCCTAGCTACTCAGGAGACTTACATCTGAGGATCGCAGCTCAAAGTCAGCCCAGGCAGGAAAGTCTGCGAGGCTCTTATCTCCAATTAACCACCAAAAAAACAGAAGTAGCACTATTGCTCAAAGTGGTAAAATGCTAGACTTGAGGGAAAAAGCTCAGAGAGAGCACGCAGCCGCTGAGTTCAAGCCCCAGGACTGACCAAAAAGAAAATGTCTCACCATACACCAAAACATATTAAAAACTCTTAAACACTGAGAAATGAAAGTTTGTGTTCATTTTTTAGCTTAGTATTTTCAAAACTTTACAGAACTCTAATTTTAAGTAGAATTCCTTCCTTCCTTCCTTCCTTCCTTCCCTATCTTTCCCTCTCTTTCCCTCTCTCTCTCTCTTTCTCTCTCTCTCTTCTTTCTTTCTTTCCTTCCTTCCTTCTTGTGCCAGTTCTGGGACTTGAACTCAGAGTCTGGGTACTGTCCCCGAGCTTCTTTACAGTTAGCACTGTACCACTTGAGCCACAGCTGCCCTTCCAGTTTTTTTTGTAAAGCAGTTTATTGAAGATAAAAGAGTCTCTCAGACGTTTTTCTGGGCTGGCTTTGAACCACAATCCTCAGGTCTCAGATTCTTAAATAGCTAAGATTACAGGTATAAGTCACCAGTGCCTGGCTCTTAAGTAGAATTTTTTTTGTCTGTTGTGAGGCTTGAACTTAGGGCCTGGCCACTGTCCTTGAGCCTCTTTGTGTTCAAGGCTAGCATTCTACCACTTGAACCATAGTACCACTTCCAGTTTTTGAGTGGTCAATTGGAGATAAGAGTCTCATGGGGACTTTTCTGCTCCAGCTGTCTTTGAACTGTGATCCTTAGAGCTCAGCCTCCTGTGTAGCTAGGATTACGGGCATGACTTAAGTAGAATTCTTAACAACATCTTATAGACATCAGGGTCCTATAGGAAACATCGCAATGGCTAATGAAACTCTCTGGTGAAAATGGTCTTTACTTCAGGGAACCTGAGGTGTATTGGGAGATGTGAAAGGGAGGGGTGCCCAAAGAGTTCAACACTACTGGGCCTTAGATGTTTCTTCTGTTAAGGCAGCAGGGTCCTCCCTCTCACATATGCAAGTAGGAACTAGCACCTTTAATATATGACCAAACACCAACAAAACTTATTTATTGGATAGAGAATTTCTTCATTGCAGGGACAGCTCATCTCCCTGGGCTGTTTCCAATGAGCTTCACTTTTTCTTTTGGGGCCATCTTGCTTAGATCACCCTTTCTGCTACGTGCTCTCTCAGCCCTGTGAATTCAGTCCAAGAGGGAGAGAATCCTATTTCCTCCATATTTCCCTTTTCTCTGTATCATCTCTCTAGGTTCTCTACCACCATCCATCTCCAGAACAATGATTCATGCTCACAGCTCTATCCTAAGCCATACTTTTGAACTCTAAATCTCTGAGTGTTCAGAAATCACTTCCATTCAGCACATTCAGAGTTTTTCTTCTCACTGAGCCTGGTTTTCTTGCCTTCTGTGATGCAGTATATGGATCCCTCATTCGTTTACTTCATAGTGTTGGGACTCCAGGAGTCACTCTTAACCCTTTCTTCTCTTTTAATTATATCTAATTATGAACATACTGTGGATTTTCCTGTCTGAATATTTCTCAAATAAATCTCATCTTCCATAGTTACTGCTACCAGTTTAGTTCCAAACACTCACATCTCTTTTTTTTTTTATTGTGAAAATACTATACAGAGGGATTACAATTACATGGGCAAGATAATGAGTACATTTCTTATCAAGCATTGTAGCCTCCCCCTTTGTTTCCCCTTCCCATCCCTTCCCATCCTCCTCCTGCCCCCCCACCCAATCCTCCCCCCCACCAAAGTTGTAAAGTTCTTTTTCGACATAACGACTTGTACATCTCATTGTTGCAATGGGTCCACCTGTATCCCTATTTAAATGACACAAATTATACCAACATCAAATACAGTGAAAGCAGGGGTTATACTGTGGGGGAGGGACATACAAAGCAACAAAAAATAATCTTATAAATGTGTTAGAAACAATCGCATGAAAGAAAAAAAAAACATTTGAATACATATTTTAGGGTTCATTTCCCTAACATCAACACTCACATCTCTTGATTCAACCATTGCTATTGCCTTTCTATTAGACCTTGTACCTCTGTCCTTTTTTTTTATTTATTTTATTGTGAAAATACTGTACAGAGGGGTTACAATTACATGGGCAAGGTAATGAGTACATTTCTTATCAAGCATTGTAGCCTCCCCCTTTGTTTCCCCTTCCCATCCCTTCCCATCCTCCCCCAGACCCCCCAATCCTCCCCACCCTACCCCCCCCCACCAAAGTTGTAAAGTTCGTTTTCGACATAACGACTTGTACTCTGTCCTATTCTTTAGATACAAGCTGGAGAAATGATATTCCAATGTTCCTTGCTGGTCTTAAGATAAAGACCAATGTCTTCAACACTTTGGCAAGAGATGAATAATGCTCTGTTTCCTGCCTACCCCGATAGCTTACCTTCACAGCTCTTTCCTTCTTCTGTCATGCTCCAACTACACTGGTCTTTGACTTACTTGAAATTATCTTTTCACCTCTGAGCTTATGGGCATCTTGTTCCCCCTGATCTTATCTGCACTTCTTTCTCCATTGTGCTTGACTAGTTTCTACTCCTTCAGGTCTTTCATAATTTCTTTCCTTCTGGGCATTCTGGTCCTCAACCTGAGGTTACAACTACTGGGTCTTTTGTCTTTATTGCCCTTGGAATTTTTCCATTGTAGCATTTAGCACTGTCCAAATTAAGCAATGGTCTGGTACAAAGCAAATGGTAGATCTGGTACTTGAACTTGATCTGTCTGAATGCAGATGCCTTACTCTGAACTGAACTTCCCCTCAGCATGAAGCTCTGGGACCTGGTGTCAATTTTATGGTCCCCAGAATTGACTATGGGTACTAATGAGAATGAGAATGTATTATTTACTATTTAAATTTCCAGTACTGGGAATCAGATCCAGGACTTTATACATGGTAGGCAGGCACTGTACCATTCAGTTACACCTCTAGACTCAGAAACTATTTATTTTAAGCTACTTTTCTCTGAGACTTTGAAGATCTCAGAGGTAGAACATGTACGCTCAACCTGAACCTTCTTGGAGATCTAACATGCTATTCCCTCCCAACCTTCCCAACCTCTGCATGTATAGAAAGTAGTCAGATTTGAATGCTTTGCTCAATCCCCTGGTCCCCAAGCCCTTGTATGTACATCTGCTCTGTTGTCATCACAGGTGGAAAAGTAAGCAATGCCAGATCAGGAACTAAAATTCTTTCATCAGGATTTTCTAAGTCATTAATCCTCTCTTGCCTGGAAGTGACTTGTGGGATGTATTAAGTGTAGTTTTGCAGCCAGCAACTTTGGTCTAGCTTGTGTTGCTTTCCCACAGGATCACTATGACTGGGGCCTGAGGGCTATCAAGTCTGTTCTCGTGGTGGCAGGGTCCCTGAAGCGAGGAGACCCTGACCGGCCTGAGGACCAGGTCCTGATGCGCTCCTTGAGAGACTTCAACATCCCCAAGATTGTGACTGATGACATGCCAGTGTTCATGGGCCTGATTGGAGATCTCTTTCCTTCTCTGGATGTCCCCCGGAGGAGAGACCTGAATTTTGAGGCTTTGGTTCAGAAAGCAGTAGTGGACCTGAAGCTCCAGGCTGAAGACAACTTTGTGCTAAAGGTATGTGAGCCCTTCTTTTCCAAGATTCTACTTCTTAATGATTTTCTTGGACAACAGAATAACTTTCATCCTTAGTCCAAATGATTTCTTTAGACATATAGACACATATCCAGTTAGAGCTAATCCAATTCTGCTGGGCCAGTAGTTCATATTTATAACCTAGCTGCTCAGGAAGCAGAAGTCTGAGAATCCTGGTTCAAAGCCAGCCAGAGCAGACAAATCCAAGATACTTTTATCTCCAATAATCCAATAAGAAGCTGGAATGGAAGACATAGCTCAAGTGGTAGAGCACCAGCTGTGAGCAAGAAATCTGGGCAAGAACACAGGGCCCCAAGCTCCAGATTCAGTATGAGGAACAAGAAAAAGAAGAAAGAGGAGGAGGATCTCAGCTCAATTCATTTAGCAGGTTAAAAAGCAGGAAATTGTTTAAAGTAGACAGAGCAAGTTTACTTGAAAGGGAAAAGAAAGCTATTCAAGGAACGTAGCAAGATTCTCCAAAGAGAAGAACTCCAAAGAGGAGTCCAAGGAGTTTTCTCAGAAGGCAATTTTTATAGTACAGCATTCCTCCCCAATCCCCTCTCCTGGGCTTTGTGCTGAGAGTCTGTGCATGCAATGCTCCAGCTCTTTTTATTGGTTAAGCAGATACCCAGGGTATTAGGGAAGAAGAAGCAGTTGAGCAGGAGCCTGAGGCACTATGGGAACAATAAATATCATAATGGACCAAGTGCACATCCCACCAGTTTTTAGCCCTATCAACCTGACAATTCTCCCTTTCTTTCCTTCACAAACACAGATGAAGAGCCTAAGAAGTCACTTTCCTTTGGTTGAAATGGTGGATTAAGGAAGGAGACTCTTGGGCTGGGAAGGTGGCTCAGTGGTAGAGTGCTTGCCTTGCATGCATGAGGCCCTGAGTTCGATTCTTCAGCACCACATAAGCAGAAAAAGCCAGAAGTGGTGCTGTGGCTCAAGTGGTAGAGCACTGGCCTTGAGCTGAAGAGCTGAGGGACAGCACCCAAGCCCAGAGTTCAGGCCCCATGACTGGCCAAAAAAAAAAAAAAAAGAAGAAGAAGGAGACTCTTTATGGATTGGACCTGCCATTAAAATTAAAATAATCTCTATCAAAATCAAGTGTCATCAGGAATGTAACCTCTAGAACAAGGAGGCTCAGGCTTAGGGCTGCAGTAAAAGAGTAACCATCTGGCAGGTGGAAATTCTCAGACAATTAACGGAGCTACATTTTCATTAGGGTTGAAGTTCACTGTGGAGTTTTCAGGGCTTTGAATTTAAAGTTCTCTACATTTTCAATGGCCTACCCCAGTACTGTTTTTCCATAAACCAATTATTTTCAAGTGTAATTCTTTGGCTGATGTTTTCAGGATTCATGTAGAAATGCCTGCAAGAAAGGAACATAGCTTGGAGCAGGAGGAGACAAGTACCATAGAAGAAGGGTCAATGGTCCTAAAATTTAGAGGCAGGGGTAGATTTTTTCTTCATATTTGCTGTTCAATAAGATGCTTAAGGAAACATCAGCATTGCTTTCAAGTTCACTAGTTGGTTTACATTTTGTTCCCATTTGATGTTCCCATGGTACCTGAGGCAGGCAATGCAGGTGAACCACTTTAGGAAAAGAAAACTGAAGCTTTCTAGGGAGACCTTTCCTGGGAGGGAGCTGCTACCTTGCAGGAGTTCAAGCCAAGGGGCAGGTATCTTCTGCTCCATTTACTACATTTTCTTTGGTACAGCCCTGATTGCATACAAATAGAATTAAGAGTGAATGAGACTAGCTCTTTCCCTTATGTGCAAGTAGACATCTGCTTTCACTCTTGACATTCTCATTACTGATGACAGCAAAATATTAACTGGTTTGGAGTTCGTGATTATGTCTTCAGGTTGACCTATTCCCACTCCCACGGTCACTTTCCTTCTCTTAAGTTCAAGGGATAAAGTGTTTTTGGTTTTTTGGTTGTTGTTTTTATTGTTATTTGTGGATTTTGTTTGGGGGGGGTTGTTGTTTTTGTTGTTATTGTTGTTTTTGCTTTGCCGGGGCCTTGTGTCAGGGCCTTGTGCTTGCTTGTACTCTGTCATGCTATCCACATCTCCCGCCTTTTTGTGCTTTAGGCTATTTTTTCAGATTAGCACTACTCTTTTTGCCTAGGTCAACCTCAAACTGAGATTCTCCTACCTACTTATGCCTCCCTTATGGCTGGAGTCACAGATAAGAAGCACCAATTTGTCTTATTGCTTGAGATGGGGTTTGGCTATCATTTTGTGTGTGGTGGCCTTGAACTTTGATCCTCTCAATCTCTACCTCCCAGGATGAATAAAAAGACTTGAAGCACAGAACAGGATGGCCTCCTAGGTAGAGAGAATAGAATCAGCAAAGAGCTATATATGAGAAACATTAAAGGCTGTAAGCAGCAGTAGAAAGGCCAGTAGTATAAAAGGAAAAGATGCTAAGATAATAGAAAACAGGGTAGGAGAAGAAGGGCATGGCATTAAGACTCAAGACAACGTAGGACCATGATATTGAGGACCCCGAATGCCAGGGCTGAGGGCCTTCCCTTAAAGGTCTGATCCTTAGGTACCTTCATCCAAGGTGAGTTACATCTGAGGAGGTTCATAAGAGACTAATACTAAACGTAATATGTCTTAGGGAAAGCCATGTCTGCCCAGAATTTTGGGATCTGGTCAAAGCATTTGGCCCTCATTCTTTTTTGTTCTACATTTTTCCTACTCAGTATTTTTGTGTTTCTTTCTATTTGTCAGTTGAGCAACATTCTGTGTCCTTCCTTTCTTTTTCTTGTTCATATATATTCCTTGCTCTTAGGACAAAAGATAATAGACAGGCTCTCTGCTAAGAGTTGTTGGAGTAGATGACAAGGACAACTTCTCTCCATACTTTACATTTACATCATCGCTTGAACTGCTGAAAAACAATTCTTCAAACACTTCCATGTGGTCTCTTATGGCATCCTGAGATCCCTTAAGAGTGCTAACATATAAATTTATCTTTTAAGAGAAAGGAATAAACTCACAGAATGATCTAAACTGGGGCAGAAACATGATAGTAAATTTTTGAAAAGAAAGGAAAAGAACAAAAAAAATAAGTTGACAGATCAGGAAGTGGATTGCAGAACAGAATATCTTTGTTGTTATTCTTTTTAATGTACGTATAATGTACTATGTGATTTTTTTTGTGAGTTTCTTTGTATGTTCTTCCCCCATGGTACAACCCCTGTTGTCACTGTATTTGATTCTGGTGCCCTGCATCTTGTGTTTACATTTTTCTAATTTGGGGAGGGGAAGGGAAATAACAAAATGCTGAAATAAGGATACAGGATGGCCCATTGTAACAATGAAATGTACAAGACAGTATTTGAAAATGAACTCTACAAGTTTGGTGGGGGTGGAACAGGGGAGGGAGGAGTTGAGGAGGTGGGGAGGAAAGGGATGGTAGACGAAAAATAAAGGAGGGTGTAACAATGCTCGATAGGAAATGGACTCGTTACCTTGCTCAAGTAACTGTAACCCCTCTGTACAGTATCTTTACTATATATATATATATATATATATATATATATATATATATGGAAAATATACTTATAAAGAGCTCCAGAGGAAGAGGGATCTGGAGGTGGCCATTCTGCCAAGCAGAACCCTGGAGACGCTCTGAGCTTGGAGTTGGTAGTTAAGGAGAAAAGCAATGAAAAAGAGGACTGAAAATAGCCAGAGGGGACGTCATTAAATCTGTTTACCCTGTAATTTTGGCTATTTGGCTCCTCACACTCTTCTCCTGAGACCTCCATCCAGTTCCCAATGCCCAAGCAATACAGATGATCCGTAACCAGACATTTCACTTGAGGCCAAAAAGAAAAGACAATTTACAAGAAAAATTTAATACATTCTTTTGGGAAAAATGACTGTCAAGGCACTTTCGTTCTTTTTGCAGTCCCTCAACAGAAGGCCAACACCACTCATGTACCCACAAGTGAAGGGCAAAGACCAAAGGCACGATCTGAGATCTGACAGTCCACAGAGCTTCGACTCAATCCTATCTACATAGCCATCCACACAGAACACCAGCCCAGCCTCCCAGGAAACAAAGGACATTGCTCATTATTTAAATTTGAGACATATTCAATATTGGAGAAAACCAACTTCATAAGAAAGGTGGACACACACACATGAACACACTTCATCTCACAGTGAAAATAAGAAACAGAACATTTAAAATGTTCTAGTTAATATATTTGAAAATAATAAAACAACATGTGTAAGAAAAATAAGAATTTATAATAAAAAAGACCTCTTTCAGAGTTGTAAAGCACTCTTTGTAGAAGGATGTCACTGATGACACACAAAATTCAGTAAGAGGATAGAGTCAAGGAAATCTCTGCACATAAAACTCTACATGTACGCATGTAGACACACAGACCTAAGTGACACAATATATTACCAACGGGAATTCTAAAAAGAAACCAAGGAAACTTATGAGAGCTAGAAGTCACGCGTCTAAACTGGAAGGACTCAGTATTGAACAGTGTGAAATTGTATGGCTTACTCAGAGACATATGCTAATGGAATTTTGAGAGTCAAGAGTGAAGAATGAAAAGTTTTCCAGTTGAAAACTTTTGACATCATAGGAGAAAGGAGGAAGTACAAGTGATCCCAATATGGGATACCAGAGTGCAAGTTTAGAGGACCTTTGGAGTTCAAAGGCAGACCACCTGCCTTGGCAATGGTGACTTTTTGCTAGCTGACACCATGATAATGGTGGAAGTATGTTCTCAAACAGGCAGTCACCACTCCATACATGAATCCAGAGAGGATTCAGGGGACAGGATCAGTTTTTTATATATATAACTAACTAGAGTCCCATAACAAATAACCTTAATCCCTTTTGAGACCCTGCCACCAATTGATAAGGACCTCATAGAAGGCCCCACCTCTCAAAACCCTGCCTGACTTCAGTGAATTGACCATTGACTAGAGAGATGGAAACGTAACTATTACACTATTACACCAAGTGTGAAGATGTAGGCTTCGGGTATGGGATACTCATTCCAGACTGAAGGTTCCCTGAAGGTTGTGCAGGAATTGACCAGGGAAAGACACAGAAGGCAAAGTACACTTGAAGTCACAGGCATGAGAGCTAGCATCACTGAAGAGGTGCAAGTGGCTGTCTGTTTGGAAGGTGCATATTTGGGAATTCAAGGTAATTGTTGAGGCTGGTTTGAGCCAAACTGTAAAAGGGCTTTGTAAGCTAGTCTCAGGATATGGAAAACCAAATCTACCAAAACTCTGGGCAACTACTGACAAGGGCAGAGTGATGGCATTGATTTGATTCCAGGAAGCGGCTTTCATTATATTTCTTTTTGGCCTCAAGTTAAATACCTGGCTGGGGGCTGGGAAGGTGGCTCAGTGGTAGAGTGCTTGCCTTGCATGCATAAGGCCCTGGGTTCAATTCCTCAGCACCACATAAGCAAAAAGAAAAAAAGCCAGAAGTGGCCCTGTGGCTCAAGTGGTAGAGTGCTAGCCTTGAGCTGAAGAGCTGAGGGACAGTGCCCAAGGCCAGAGTTCAGTCCCCACGACCGGACCAAAAAAAAAAAAAAAATACCTGGCTGGCTGCTAAGGGTCTAATGGATGCTTCAGACTGGTCTTGACTCCAAACTCATCAAACTACTCACCCACATGATACTGCCACATGGCCAACCTTCGCTTGTGTTGCTTTTCTGTGCAACTTCTTGGCAAACTCCCACTTATCCCTAGAGTCTTGGTTCAAATGTTTACTCCTCTGGGAAACCTTCCTTGTTCCCATCATTTTCAAAAATCAACTGTTCCTCTCTTTGTTCTCATGGGTACTTTATATATACCCCTTTTACATTAATTACCATCTCCCATTATGATAATTTATCTATGTGATTTTCTTCTGTCAGACTGTGGGAACCTCATCTAACATACTCTAACACTTAATGATTAATAATTGAATGATTCATGATGACTCTTTGAATCGTGTTGCTGCCATGACTAAGAACCCATCATGTTTGGGGAGAAAGAAACCTTCACTGTTGTCTTCTCACTCCAGACACTAGGATGGCTGACAGAAGGTCAGGCGACATGCAGATGAGGGACCAACAGGTACCACTGGCTGACTTGTCCTGTCTCCCAGGTGGTGCAGTTGGAGGAGCTCCTGGCAGTTCGACACTCTGTGTTTGTTGTGGGTGGTGCTGGTACCGGCAAGTCAAAGGTGCTGAGGTCTTTGCACAGGACTTATCAGATCATGAGACGCCGGCCTGTCTGGACAGACCTCAACCCCAAAGCTGTCACGAATGATGAACTCTTTGGCATCATCAATCCGGCCACAAGAGAATGGAAGGACGGTAAGAAAGAAGAAAATCCCTCATTCCCTCAGAGCCTCCTGGACAGAACTGCAAGGCAAGAGACATTGAACTGATCCATTTCACATAGCAGAAGGAGATGAGGTGAAAGGAAGAAACGAATTTTGGCCAGAGGCAGACCTCCGTCTTTCAGATTTTTCTCCCTCCTTTAAGACCTCTTTTAACTGCCTCTAGTAGAATCCCTTAAAAGAGGATCAAGGAGGGCAGGCACTCAGCTGTAGTTTGCTTTTCTATAGCACATGGTGGGTTTAAGTCATGCACTGCCCCCGTGCTAGGGTCCTGTGGGTGTCTCGTGAGTCCCAGAGGGTTCCTAGGACCATGTTCCCTTCCAGACTAATTCAGCACATTCCAAACCCATGTTATCTCTGGGCTCTGGAATGAGGAAATATCAGTTCCCTCTGAGTTTCAGTATCTGACTTGTCAAGGTAAAACCACCTGGCTTTCTTTAACTCAGGAGCTTTGTTCAGAGATCTAGAGCAAAGAAGTTAATGAAAAGCAGCTTAAATTTTTATTTCACTGCTTATTAGCATCATTTCCTTCTTGTTGGTCTTAGTAATTTCCTCTTTTGTACTTTATTTGCTTTTGTTATTTTGTTTCACGGTGTAAGTGTGCCGTTACTGGGGTTTTAACTGTGTCTGTGCTCTTGCTTGGCGTTTTTGTTGTTGTTGTTTTGGTTTTTTTTGGTTCAAGGCTGGCACTCTTATCCCTTGAGCCATACCTCCACTTCTGGCTTTTACTGGTTAATTGGAGGCAAGAGTCTCTGGGATCTGTCTTCCCGGGCTGGCTTCAAGTCATGCTTCTCAGCTCTCAGCCTCCTACGTAGCTAGAATTACAGGTGTAAGCCACTGTCAGTGACTAAAATATATCAATGATAACAATGCTTCAGGTCTCCTGAGTAGTTAGCATTATGAGTAGCTAGAATTAGGGAAACAGCTGGGACAGAAGTCTTTGAGACCCCATCTCCAATTAATTAACATAGTATGAGACTGGAGGTGTGGGTCAAGTGGTTGAACTCCAGCTATGACAGCTCCACCCTCAGTTCAAGCTCCAGCACTCACACACACACACACACATACATACACACACACACACACACACACACACACACACACACATACACACACACCTATACACAAAGACAGTATGCATTTCTAACATCTATCATTTGTCTATTAGACACTTTTATGACTTTTATACTTTCTATGGCATATTTTACCAAGCACCTTTAAAAAAAGGAAATTATATCTGTCTAGTCTTTTCAGCATTTGGGATTCCTATTTCATTTATAACGCTTTCTAATTGTCAACTACAGATATAAGTATCATAAATTTGGTCAATAAGGATTCTTTTTACATTAACATTTTTAAATCCATCTGGAATTTATTTTGAGGCTTAGAATGAGTTTGAATAAAAATCCAACTTCATTTCCTTCCAGATGGATAATTGATTGTGCCAGCACTATTTATTAAGTAAACTATCTTTTTCCTCTGCTTTCAAACACCACTTTGTTGCCTTTTAAATTCCATACATACCAAGATCGGATTCTAGGATTTTCATTCTGGTCCACACTTCTGTCTATGTGATCTTATACCAATACCATCTATTTCAGTTAGAATCATTTTTAACAGACTTTACTATCCAATGAGCTAAATTGCTCCTCGATATTTTGGGATAGCCTTCAACATTTCATTTTTATATTAAATTTAACATCAGAAACTTTGTTGAAATCCTAGTCAATATCCTACTAAATTCGCATTTTAAATTTGAAGAAATTGACAAAGAAGACATAATACAACTCTGTGTTCATTGAGCAAGATAATTTCAAAGTAAGTAGGATGTAGCCTTTCAGAAATTTAAGTAAAAATATGGTGAGTTATTTTATTAAACATTTTTCAAAATTAGATGGCTGCAGTAGACAGAAGCCTAACTACATATACAGAGGAATTTGGAAATATATCATCAAACTCGGTATAGTACATAGTTATAGAATTTTGTACCTCATAAACTTTTGGGAGGAAATTTCTAAGGGCCAACAAAGTTGGTCACAGAGGAAACTATATTGAATTCAAAAGAATCAATTTATAAACCACAATCTGTGAAATATTAGAAACAAGCAAGACAATAGCCCTAAATAATTCCACTACTTTCAAATCAAAACACGATCTCTACCCCTGATCAAAAAGAAAAATTAAATTGTAATTCCTCCAGCAACCTATGAAAGGAAGAATTCATACAAGATCCATGGAGTACATCTGAAGCCTATCAGAAAGCACATTAAACTGTGTTATGGGAAGTTAATAGGGAGTAAAAGAAATTAGTTTCTGTAATAAGTTATTATTCCCTCTGAAGAAAATGATGAGAGGAAAGAAACTAGTAAAGATAAGATCTGAAATTAGCCAGAAGAAAGACTAAATGTCATAGAAAAGAGAAATATAAATAATGGTTCTTTATAAAGGCCAATAAGTGTATTTATTGTGAGAACAACTAATGGGGGAAAGGTTAACTATATTTATATATAACATATATGTATATATAGTATATAATTAGGAACTTTTAATGACATATGACAGTATATTCAACATTAAATTGGAAGAGAATATCTAGTCAGATGGCATGTATTTGACAATCTAGAAGAAATAGATGAACCCCCTAGTAAAAATATAAAATAAGGGAAATGCATGTATCTAGAATAAATCATATTAAGTGGGTTAAGCCAAGCTCGGAGAGACAAATGGCACATTTTTTTTCTCATATGTAGAAGCCAGATCTAAAATATAACTGGCCATGATAGATTATATAGGACTCAAGGCCTTCACACAGTCAGACTAAAGGAGGGCACCCTTAGAAGAGGAACACAAAGGTGTGAGTTCCCTGAACCTTTAAAATAGCTGGAAACAAATTCCAAGAAATGAAAACATGTTTTTGTTTTTGTTGTTTGTTATTGTTGGTTGTAGTGTTCATTTGTTTTTCTTTTAGGGAGGTAAAAGGTACAGAAAATGAGGGAGAAAGGGTAAATGAATGTAATCCTGTTATTCAGTATACACTATGTGGAAAATGACCTATGTAATTGAGGTAGGGATGGGAAGGGGAAACTGGGGGAAGGGATGACATTGTTCAAAAAAGAGAAATGTATTCATTGCCTGATTTATGAAATGGTAAACCCTCTATACAACATCTTAATAATAACAATGAAACTAGTTTTCAAAGATCTTAACCTAAAAAAGACAAAACAGCAAAAATATATAAAATAGTAATATTTTCTCATTAAGAAATAGTAAACCTAAGTAAACTTAAATTTTTACAGATAGTGCAAGAACAAATATGAAATCTTTCACATATATATGAATTTATATACATGTGAAAAATAGCCCTGAAATCGTTTTATGGAGCCATAATAATCATAATATCAACTTTTTATGTAGAACCCAAAATCACAACCCAATTTTACTTAGTAGACTTAGAAATTCTAAATTAAATATTACTAAGTATATCCAACTATATCTTGAAAGAATGAAACAGTTTGACCAAGTCAAGTCTATTCCAGAAGTGTAAGGATGACAAATTAAGAAGAAAGGTAATTTGATCTAATTAATACACAATTAAAACAATAGTCATTCCTACTCTAAAGTTCTAACTAACATGGAAATTGAATGAAAATACTTCACTATGAAAAATACTCTATACCTCAAGCTAAAAGGAAAATGAAATCAAAGCACTCTGCATAATAATACATCAAAGCTATTTCCATTAAAACCAGAAAGCAGGTAGGGAGGAGGCTTGCTATCAATTTGTATTCAGTTTATTTCTGGAGGTTTTAGGAAAGACAATAAGAAAATGGAAATAGATGTTATAAATTGGAGGAAAGGAGAAAGTTTATTGTTTTTCTCATTCTGCAACTGTACACCTAAAAAAATGAATTGTTACTAATTACTAGAATTGATTTTTAAAGTATTAAATGTAATTAAACATAAATACACAAAATCTAGTAGTTTTTCTCTATACTATAGATAGACTGCTAAGAATGGAAATACAGGGCAGTGGGTAGAGAGGTCTTTCTCACAACCACAATAAAACTATGAAATATATAGAAGTATATTTAGCCAAGGAGGTATATTTTATTGTTTATTTTTTGTCAGCCATGGAGCTTGAACTCTGTGTCTGGGCACTGTCTCTCAGCTCTTCAGCTCAAGGCTAACACTCTACCACTTGAGCCACAGCACCACTTCTGGTTTTTTGTGTGGTTTATTGGAGATAAGAGTCTCATGGACTTTCCAGCCTAGGCTGGCTTTGAACCACAATCCTCAGAACTCAGCCTCTTGAGTAGCTAGGATTACAGGCATGAGCCACTGGAGCCTGGCTTAAGGAGATATATTTTAAAAGCTGTAATATTTTATTATGGATATAGAAGAGTATCTGAGTAAATAAATGAAAAGGCATAGAGTATTATTGAGTAGGAAAGTTTAAAGAAAATAATTTTATCCAATTACTGTATTAATTTCAATGTGATGCCAATAAGAAGCAATTGAGTCTTCTCTCAAATTCTATCCTGGGCAAGATTTTCTAGGAATGCAATGACAAATGATGAGATTTTTGCCTGAGAAAGGTTAATGTGATTCTATCATCCCATTACTCTAGCATTCTACAGTCATAGCTGTAAAGATTCACTGGGTCTCTCAAAAAGCTGGCACTCTCTGGCCCTGATTACTCTTCTTACTCTTGTGGTTCCTGTTGATGTTCCAAACAACTTTGGAGCATGCTGGACCCTAAGTTTCTGAGTAGAGCAAGATGCAAAGTCAAGTCTACTCTCCTTCTTGAATGCCTGTCTCTTTCTGATTGGTATAACCAATTTGGGGGGGGGAGTGGAGCTATGCTAAGAGAAAGAGGTTTGGTGGTGAAAGGGAAAATAAATTATCCATGGTTCCTTGTAGGACTGTTCTCTTCTATCATGAGGGAGCTTGCCAACATCTCCCATGATGGGCCCAAGTGGATCCTACTGGATGGTGATATCGATCCAATGTGGATTGAATCTCTGAACACTGTCATGGATGATAACAAGGTATCAGAGAAGGGAAGGAAAGTCCTCACAACCTTCCCTAGCATGTCACATGATGGCTGAGCTAGAACATGCCACTTCAACTGCTGTTGTCAATAGACAGAACCGACCCATCCCCACCAGCAGCCCCGGCCTACTTCAGTGCTATTGCCACTGCCCACCCCATTTTTGATGGGATGGTCATTTCCTCCAGACTCATGCCTATAATTCATTTTATATTTAGAACTGAAATCTAATTATCCCTTCAAATCTTTTCTCTAATTCTTTTCTATTTAATAAATAAACTAAAGATTTGAAGCATTCTGAGCCCATCAAATGACTTCTAGGGTGGTAAATATCTATCTGTTGGTAGTGCATAGCATTTTTTAAAAAAAAATAAACAATGAAAACCAACGGAATGGCAGTAAAATGGCTATTAAGCTGGTAGCTGTTCCTAAACTTGTTCAGAAAGCTTGACCAGATTGGAAATGTTAAAATGGCCTCCGCATTCACAGAAATCATTAGAATAAATGCATGTTCCTTCCCAGAGGGACTACTTAGAAAGAAGAGCAGTAATATGAAACTGAAGCTCTTTTCTTTTAAAGGTTTTATTATTCCAATATGGTCTAGTTCATTCAAATCATTGACATCAATTTAAGCTGTTTAAATAACTTCTTATGGTGATTCAACAGACACATATAGAGGACGGAAGAGTGGGAGTAGAGAGATGGTATGGATGGTGAGAGAGACAGAGACAGGGACACAGAGACAGAAAGAGACACAGATTATAGAAAACACTAACAATTAAAAAAAGAAGGCTATAACCATCCTGTCTTGTGTCTATAAGAGAATGCCAGGACTGGGTGATTTATAACGAAAAGACATTTATTTGACTTTCATTTCTGGAGGCTGCAAAGTCTTAATATCAAGGGGCTGAATCTAATAAAAAAAATAACAAACAGAAAACTTCTTACTCCCATGGTAAAGGGCAAGAGAACATGCCTATGCCAGCAAGGAACCGAATACTTAATGTTGTTGTACTAAGGGTGCGGTTTCCTACAAATGCTTTTGGGGAGACATAAACATCCTAGCATGTCCATAGCCTGACAGAAAGAATCCATCACACACCCACAAGCTGACATTGTATGCTCATGTATTCTCAGTGCTTTCTAACTGGACGTCCCACCCACGTCTACAGGTGCTTACCCTGGCCAGCAATGAGAGGATACCTCTGAACCCCACAATGCGGCTACTATTTGAAATCAGCCACCTGCGCACAGCCACACCAGCAACTGTCTCCAGAGCAGGTAAGGCCCTGGACATAAAATTGCTCATTGGAGGAGGGTACTTCTAGCTGTAATGTTCTTGTTCTGCTGGTTCTGGAGGAAGATCAAAATAAGAGCCAGAAGCTGCTCCTTCAATACTCTGGTCTGGTTGACAGAACTCATCCACACCCACAAAAGCAAGGAGGTACCACCAAGCTATGGCCCTTGTGACTTTGTTGATTCAGAAATGTAGGAACCAGAAGGGAGATAATCCCTAGGCTAGACAGCCATCCAGTGCACATAAATGTCTAGATCTAGGCTACTTTCCAATCCAGTTCCAGCCCCCACATCAGTGAAGGTGACCAAGCATTACCACTTCTCATTAGCTTCCTTCTCTCTTTTTATCAGTTCAATTGATGAACAGACATCAGGTCATAAAAAAGAACTTATTTAACAAAATAATCAAAAAAGAGTAGGGTAGTAGCTGCTAGAGCATAGGGGCAGGGGGAATAGGAGAGATACATTCAGTGGGCACAAAGCATCTTTATTCAGAATGAGTAAGTTCTAGAGACATGTTGTCCCTCACAGTGCCTATAGTTGACAGTGCTGCATTGCATACTTTGACAATTGTCAGGAAGATATACAACAGGCAAAATGTTCTTAACACACATACATAGGTGCATGCACATACATACACATACACACGAAAAGAGCATGAAGAAATTTGTAGAGGTGGTGTCTGAGTATATATATTAACTTGGTTGTGCTTCTGGTTTCTATTGGTTGTTCCAAATCCAACAAATCATATACATTATTTATGGACAGTGTTTTAGATTTCAATTATATGTCAGTAAAGATTTGCAAGTATTTTTTCAATAAGAAAAGAAAACTTTTGGATCTCTGCTATAATGTCAGGTTCCCACTCTAGGCCCTCTCAGCATGGTAAACCCTGCTCGGGAGAATTGCGCCCCACTAATTTCCTGGGACCACTGTAACAAGTAACTAATTACCATGAGCGTAGTGGCTTTTAAAGACACTTGCACACCCATGTTCCCTTCCTGCACTGCTTGTGATAGCCAAATTATGGAAACAGTCCAGATGCCCTACAATGGATGAATGAATCAATCAAAAGCAGCACCTGTAAACAATGGAATTTTACTAATCCATTAAAAAGAATAAGATTATGTCATTTGTAGGGAAATGGATGGACCTTGAACAAATCATGTTAAGTGAGGTAAGTCAAACCCAGACACAAAGGGCACATGTTTTCTCTCCTATGTGGAAATTAGATCTAAAATATAACTGAACATGATAAGCTATACAGGACTCTAGGCATTCACACAGTCAAATTAAAGAAGGATACCCTTAGGGGAGGGACCCAAAGGTGTAACTGATCTGAACATTTATTGAAATGAATTCCAGGAACTGGAAACATGCATTTTTTCACTGGTGGTGGTAGTGTTTGTTTTTACTTTGGATGTTTCTTTTCCTTCTTAGAGGGAAAAAGTGGCAGGGGGTGGCACAGAAAGGGAGGTAGAAAGTGTGAACAAATGCAATCATGCTATTTAGTATACACTATGTGGAAAATGAGCTATGTAACTTGTGGACAGTGATGGGAAGGGGAAACGGGAAAAGCAAAGGAAGGGGTGACATTGTCCCCCAAAATGTACTTATTACCTGAGTTAGGAAATGCTAACCCCTCTGTACAACACCTTATTAATAACAATAACAATATTTTTTAAAAAAAATAAACAAATTTATTGTCTTAATGAATATGGAAGTCAGACATAGAAAGTCATTGCTGGAGTCCAGCAAGGCTGCCTTCTCCCCAAAGCCTCTGGTGGAAACTCCTTCCTTGCCACCTCCAGCTAAGGGCTCCAGAGCCCTGTAGCACCAATCTTTACCTTTCTCACAGGGCTTTTCTTTTTCTTTCAAAATTAGTGTATATTAATTGTACAAAGGATCATTATTGTAGTATTTCTTACAGACCCCTCCTATTACTCTTATGTGCTTGGACCATGTTCACTTCTACCATCCTTTCCTTTTTCCCTTCTACTGGTTCCCATCTCCAAAAGTCCCCATTTTGCATTCATATCATATTTTTTTTTCAGGTAAGGGGTAGGTTTATTCATCATGCTGGCTGGCACCAGGCCATGTTGGCCCTCCACACAGCTGGGAAAGACCTGGGGAAAATCTGAGAATAAGGGCCTCTGGGTCTGGGCTAGGTCTTATCTATGGTATGGGTGGAGAAAGGTGTGGCCATATCAAATTCAGATGTGACCTCAGCAGATGCAGATGTGACCTCTTCCAGGTGTGCGGTTGCCTAGGTAACGCAGGTACTGGGCGGAGACTTTGCTGCAAGGAAGGTGGAGTCTGCTCATCATCCAGGAGCGGACCTTACATTCCAGCCTTTTAATAATCATGAAATAGGGCACGGATTCTCTCTGGCTACTTCCTGCTGACAAAGGGCATCGACTTTAGGGGTAAAAGGCTGGAATTTGGTCCCCTCCCAGAGAAGGCAGTGAGCAGCAGCTGTCCCTTGGTGGCGTGAGTCCTTAGATGAAGTCTGGAGAAGTCTCATGAGGCATTGACAGACTGAAAAAAAGATACTAAAAAGCAAACAAATGGCAAGAGGAAGGACTTGGGCCTGAAAATGTTGGTAGAAATGTCCCTAGCTACTTCTGACATCTGGCGACTAGGTAGAGGAAAAGTCAGGTAATAAAGGCAAGAATATAAATTCCTGTCCAGTTAATAGGTAGACAGGTATGGACACTAGATGGGCAGGCTTCTTATATCTATTGACCTCCCAGCTCTGGTTAATTTTGAAAGGGCAGGCACAAAGTTGCTGATATGACATCATCTCCTCTTATACCTTTCCATAGTCCCTTGTTCCCCAGACTGTCTGAGTCTAGGTGCTCATTGCTGGAATGGCTTTTCCCAGTTATTATTCATGGAGGTTTGAACAAGGCCTGGGTACTGTCCCTGAGCACTTCTGTTCAAGGCTAGCACTGAACCACTTTGAGTTATAGTACCACTTCCAGTGTTTGGCTGGTTAGAGATAAGAGTCTTGAGCCATGCTTCCAGCCTGACTCTTTGCAGGTTAGTTAGGAGATGGAGTCTTAGGGATTTTTTTCAGCCCGGGCTGGCTTTGAATTACAATCTTTGCCATAAAAACCCTTTATTATTTCCAATTAAAGCAACAAAGAGATCAAATAGAATAGAGCTTACCTGGTCCTTATCAAGAATTGACCAAGAAATATTCTGCAATGACAAAACTCAGTAGATGTGAGAATCTTAGCACAGATATGCCCAGTATTGAACTAGAATACACAACACAAAACAAAAAAGGCAAATCTCAAAACCTAAAATTTTGACAACAATGTTTAGACATCTTTGCTAACAAAGCACATCAGATGTTTGAGCCTCAGTTACCAGGGTCTGTGAAAAGAGCAACTTGTTAGCAAGGCACCTTAGAATAGATGGATGGAGTTGTAAGCTTGGTGGAAGGTTAAGGGTCAGATGGGGCCAAACCCTTAACACACCATGTGGCCAAGATGGCGAACTCAAGATGCCAATTTCTGAAAAAAATACAAAGAAAGCCTGAACAAATCGATCAAGCCTAGTTGGGCTAGCCTTTGATAGGGAACCTGGGACCCACCCTGTGTCATACTCTTCAGGGCACAAGCCAAAAAGTTGTAGAAAAGAATAAGGGAGAGATATGGAAAGTTGGACATGATTGGCATAGAGAGAGAGCAAAGAGAGCCTGAAAGTAAACAGACTTCTGCCCATTTACCATTGCAGAGGCAAAAATTGTCTAAATCTGAGAACAGCATAAAAAAAATTAGGCGCTCTGGCTTTCCAGGGAGCGCAGGAGGCATTTCAGAGGGGTTTCATGGCACTGGAGTAACACACAGCACCCCATTAAAGTCATAGGAGAGAAGAAAATTAGTGAGTGAAGGAAGGCTTATCAGATGGAAGTGGTGTCCTGACTTACCACCCAGCCCTCCAGGGAGAAGTAGCCAAGCAACCAGAGTCAAGCATCCTGATTCCAGAAGTAACCGGCCTTTCAGTTAAAGGCCTAGCAGGTTCTCTGATGTGGTACCACATCTGGAGAGAGACTGAGTGACAGGGAACCCTCAGAGAGTAGTTCACTCACCAAAATGTAGAAGCGTGGAGGTGGATGCAGAGGCCAGCAATGGTATTGAGGTGCTGTGTCCGCAACAGAGAGACCGGTCCACAAAAAGGCTGTCAGAACTGTGGGTATTCCTCAGAGCCAATAAGGAAAAAACAAGCAAACAAAAGAAAAAAACGGAGAGGAATCCCACCTATCCTGACTTTAAGCCCTTCCCAGGTTTCGACACCATTTATGTTAAGTTTTTAAAGAGGGGTTGCCGAGTAAGAATCACACCACGCACATGGTATTCAGGTAAGGGGTAGGTTTATTCAGCGTTCTGGCTGGCACCAGGCCATGTTGACCCTCCACACGGCTGGGAAAGGTCTGGGAAAGACCTGGGAAAGAGCTCATATCATATATTTTTATATTTTATGTGTAGATTCCATATATGAGAGAAGATATATGATATTTGACTTTCTTTGTTAGGTATTACTTCACAGAGTGGCCTCTAATCCTACTCATTTTCCTGCAATTGGCATAATGCTATACATTTTTATGAATGGATAATACCCCATTGCGTGTATATATGTAAATATGTATCACATTTTCTTTATCCATCATTGATTGATAGGCCCCCAAGTTGGTTTCACAGACTGACTGGGCTCAATGTATCTCTCCCAATCTCTCTCTTTAGAAGGGCTACTTACTGTCCCCTCTAGACAATCCAGAATAATCCCCAGATCTTTAATTATTTCTGCTAAGGCTATTGTTCCAAAATCGGTTACACTGACAGTTTCTAGGAATGCAGACACGGACAGTGACAAGTATTGCCCATCAATCACAACCTCTTCTCTCTTGAGACAACTTCACCATGTATCTCTTCTCCCTCAGTGGACCCTTAGTCCTCAGAAGCAATTTCACACTCTCTGAACTAGACTCAGTCTCTGTCTGCTACAGTCTAGTTTTCTGCATGCTTTTCAAGCTGAGAACTACTGATATGAATGGAATACCCACTATACAATGTTCTCTGTGTTCCCAGGGATCCTATACATCAACCCAGCAGACCTAGGATGGAACCCTCCAGTGAGCAGCTGGATCGACCAGAGAGAAGTCCAGACAGAAAGGGCTAACCTAACCATTCTGTTTGACAAGTATCTTCCAACCTGCTTAGACACACTCAGAACCAGGTAGGCCAGGCAACAAGAGAGAGAGTAAATTAATGCAACAGTGAAGGACATGTTGGCTTGCATCTGATGTCCCACTGATGTTCTGTCCTGTCCCCAAAGTCAGAACCCTCCAGGCACAGCAGATGGCAGGGGGAACACACATTAGAACAACCATGGGATGCCTATTGGCAGTTCAAGCAGGAAGAGAAGTGAATGAAAAGCAGGAAGATTTAAAGTGCCCTTCACAAATATCACATGGATATATCAGAAGGAGGTAATCAGTAGGAATATCAGATGACAGCCCTGGGTCAGATTCATTCCAATATGCATGGCCAGCAGCTGGCTTTCCTACAAATGATGCACAAGCCAGACCAACAGGTCCAGAAATGACGATGACCAGCACCTGTCAGGGACATATGGATCCTACCTCTTGTTCCTGGCTGGGTGTGATCACAGTCCAGATAGCAGGGGCTTAAGAGAATGTGTCACTTGGCCATTTCTGCCGGTAGAAAGTTGTGAGTTCTCTATTCTGCTTTTTGCTCTACAGTGTTACTTTTTTATCTCTAAAAGTAAAAGCAACAAACTAAGGGCTGGTGGATCATGCCTGTAATCCTAGCAACTCAGGAAGCTAAGATCTGAGGATCACAATTCAAAGCCAGCCTGGGCAAGAAAGTCCGTTTAGACTCTTATCTCCAATTAACTACTGAAAAACCAGAAGTAGAGCTGTAACTCAAGTGGTAGAGCACTAGCTTTTGAGCAAAAAATATGCTCAGAGACAGAGCCTGGGCTCTGAATTCCAGCCTGAGGACTGGCATGCACACATGTAAGTACACACACACACACACACACACACACACACACACACACACACACACACACACACACACACACACACACCAGCAAAAAAGTAAAAGCCATGAATATCTATTTCAGTCAGCTTTCCCTTATTTTAACAGAAACCTGAAGTAACTGAAATAATTAATTTACAAAGAGAAAGGGCTTATTTTGACAGTACAATTTTAGACATTTCAGTCCTTGATTGATTAACCCTTTTCCTTGGGCCTGTGGAGGCATATCCTGGGAGAAGCACACGGGAGAGCAAAACAACTCATCTCATCTCATCTCTGGGACGTGAAAGAAAGAGAGGAAGAGACCAAAAGTCCACAATCCCCTTTGATTACACCTCCCCCCGCCAACCACCTAAGGAACTCTCACTAGATCCCTACCTGCTAAGGGTTCTCCACATCCCAAAGTGTCAAAACAGGTACAAAGCCTCAAACACACAGGCCTTCATCCAAGATCCAGACTGTAACACAAGCTATCACTTGAACAAGAAATTAATTACTTTATTCTAAAAGATTTGTGTTTACAGCATGAATTCCACAGTTGTCTGCATAGAGAAGTTTCCAGACTTCTTCTGTTGTATTGAACCTTCTTCTGTTGATTAGTTGATTTTTCCATGGGATATATCATGGTGCAGGACTGGGTTCTATTTCCATAATTCAACCAAGAATGGGCACCAAAAGCTGGTACTGGGAAGATGTGACTTTGATATATATAGTTCCTGGTGGTCCCATAATATTGGTTCAGGATTATATTTCCAAGATATTATGGTCCCTCACTCAGACTGATCCTTGGATCTTTATTCAACTGGCCAGTCAAGAATAGAGTAGGGCTGTGGCTTCTGTTTCCCACAGTGTGAAGGCAAAGATCCTGGGAGAATTTCAGCCATGCTACAAATGGTCCCAGGCACTCTTAAATATGCCCTGCCCTCTACCCTAAAAAAAGTCCATCCACATTAAAAAGAAATATTGTGAGCACCAGTGACTCACACCTGAAATCCTATCTACTTAGGAGGGTGAGATCTGAGAATCAGATTTGAAACTAGCCTGGGCAGGAAAGGCCATGAGAATCTTATCTCTAATTAACGAGCTGTGACTCAAGTGGTAGAGTGCTAGCCTTGAGTCGAGAAGCTAAGGACCAGTACCTAGGCCCTGAATTTGAGCCCCAGAACTGGCACCAAAAACTCCCCACAATATTGGGGGAAAAAATAGTTCACATAGCGGTATACTTTAAGTATTTAATGAAACATTAATTTTGCTTCTGTAGTTTTTAATACTTCACAATCCATAATTCTCTTTCCAACCATCAATACCCTCATAAGTTTCTGAAAATCCTGATGGTCATGGACTCTGTGACCTTAGGATTTAATGCAGACTCTGTAGCTAGTAACTTCTAGAAGGTGACAGCATCATCAGTGTTACAAATAGGAAAGAGCAGCAGAGTTACAATCTAGAGAGCAGAGTGTCAGGAAGACAGTACATTCCTGCTGCTTTATTTGTTCCTGAGATTTGTTCAATATGTTCTTTGATGACGAATCAAGCTATTTCTTACTCTGGGCATTTAGGACAAGAGATATCAACTGTGTGTGTGTGTGTGTGTGTGTGTGTGTGTGTGTGTGTGTTTGTGCGCACACATATACATGTGTCCATGCTGGTGTGTGCATAGTGTATAGCCTTGGAAGCAACTTTAAAGATTCTACCTGCATTTAGCCTATCTACAGATATCCACCACATCTCTGGTTATCAAGGAGAAAGAACTATTGCTGTCATTTACAGCCTCCCTCTCTGAATATAATTCCATTCCATTTTCACAGCTTTCCTAAGAGCCTCCCTGCAGCCCACAGCATGGGGGTGAAGGTCTGTGATGCTCCCTTGTCATCATAGCATTCATAACAGAGGCACTGGCTCCAAGGCCTTCCTTCTTTTAAGGAGCACCAAATCCTCAGGCTGGCTGTATGCAGCCATTACCACAGAGCTGTGTGGTATCAGCACACACTCATTTCTTTATTGAACAGGGGTAATTGAAAAGCAACTTTATTTTGTTTGCCATTGTCCCTTCAAACCTTCCAAACAAAGTTAGCTGGCTGGTTCTCCTCCAGTACCTAGGTGAGCTCTAAGTTAATGGTTTCTCTTCTCTCTCTCTCTCTCTCTCTCTCTCTCCCTCTCCCCTCTCTGTCACACACACATGCACACACACAACACACACACACACACACCAGTGAAAATTTAAAAGAAACAAACTTCATTTACAGCTTCTGCCTCTGAAGCTTAGACTTGCAGTGGGAAAGGGTAGCCCTCTTCTCAGCAGGTATAGTTTCTGACCTCTCAGGATCCAAAGGGGACAGAGAGAAGAAAGGAAGGGGAATAGAGTTCTGCTTCCATGGAATCGACCAGTACAGCCTCAGTTTCTGTAATTACAGCAAGTATTAAAATCTGACTTCCTCTTGGAGAATTTGGGGACTTCTTGGAGCCCTCCATACCACTAGAGATCTCCATCTGCCCGCAGTGAAAAAAGTACATGTATCTCCTTCAGCCAACCATGTGCTACTCCTCACACTCCTATGCCTGGGACTCCCACAGGGGCACCGTTAGTTTGCATCACAAACACCCCTCCATATGTGCAAGCTCACATGTGGATTCCAGGAGACACATTTGTCTCCCCCTTTGCTTTGACAAAATAGGATTCAGGCCACTCCAGCAGGAAGCCTCTCTGTACTGCACTGTGAGATCACAAAGCTCTCTGTGGTCTCCTGGCCATGGGCCCTTTACCAGCTTAGAGCAGTCCTGTAGAAGGCCTTAGCCTGGCCTTGCTGTCAGGGACAAACCCTGCCTTCTTAGTGGGGGGAGGGGAGGGGAAGGCAGATTCACTGAACACCAAAGCGCTTCCTCAAATCCTGTAAAATATTATTTCCAACCCCTCCAGCATCTCTTTCATTTGTTAGTTTGCTTGCTTGCTTGCTTGTTTTGATCTGGGATACTGAGAGAGTGAGGGATCAGGGTTGCAAAGTCTCAACCAGTTTGTCCAAAGTCTCGTCTTGGAAACTAAGGGCAGCTGGCATCCCTTTGTCTTGTTACCTCATCCAATGTGGAGCCTGTGACGATTCTATTTTATTATTCTATTCCAAACATGCATGGAATCAAAGAGTGAAGGAAGGACCACTCAGGTCTCAGCTTTCCCATTACTAATAAAAGTAATACCTAGACTATTAGACCAGACCCTAATATGGTCATAAGGACAGCAATAAGATTAAAAACAGGCACAAACATGATGCCTTGGAGAGAACAGGTACTGGGCATTCCTGAAGCCCAAAGCTGGTAAGTGACTTTGAAGGAGGCAGCTGATAGTGTTGCTCAGTGGACTCTGCCTCTCTGCAACCTGAGTGCAGCATCCTGTTGCAGATGGTAGTGTGGGTGTGCATGGCTATGTGGGAGTACACTGTGTGTATGGAAAGAGAAATTGTGTGATCTGTGTGTGTGTGTGTGTGTGTGTGTGTGTGTGTGTGTGTGTGTGTGTGTGTGTAAACTCCTAGTTCCTTGGGTATAGGATGTCTTTGGTACATCTTGAAATATCATCTTATAATTGCGATCTCTAAGGATAAGCTTAAAAATACAAACCCTAGGCCAGGGAAAACTCACAGAGCTCTATTTTCACCTAGGAATTTCCATTCTACTCATGATTATGTAAAATTGCCATCTGTCTCCATCTTCTCCACTGCCCAGATAAAACTCTGGCCCCACTGAAGTACGTTTTCAGTCCAGTTTAATTGCAAGAAAACCTCTAAGATAAAGAGAAAAAAACAATCCAGAATAGCACCCAAATTGCTTTTTACAGTGCCTTTTGACTATTGAAATTATGAATGAAAAAATGTTTGTTGTAGCTCCCTACTTTCTCCTAAGGACTGAGAGCAGATGTCGAAAGAGAAAGGGAAGGGAGGAGGGGTTCAAAGGAAGGGAAAGAAGACAAGGAAACTTCTCAGGAGGGCTGTGTGCCCTCAACCCTGTCGTGGAAAGTGACTCAAAATTTACTGAGAACAAAGGCTTAAGTAGGACCATGATCCTTGATAGTCTCCAAAACTTGACAAACCTTTAGTCTTCTAAAACCAAGGGGCTTCTACGACCAGCCCATGGGGCCTCCAGATGGGATTTTCATGGGGTTTTGGAGCAAGTCCTAATCTCCCATTGCAGATTTAAGAAGATAATCCCAGTTCCAGAGCAGAGTATGGTTCAGATGGTGTGCTACCTTCTTGAATGTCTCCTAACCAAAGAGGACATCCCTGCAGACTGCTCCAAGGAAACCTACGAGCTTTATTTTGTATTTGCTGCCATCTGGGCTTTTGGTGGAGCAATGGTCCAAGACCAGGTAAGGAGGTATGATGGAGTTGCCGCCATGTTAAATCTATAGCAGTAAAAAGTAAACCTCCATTGGGAACCAGTGGCTCACGCCTGTAATCCTAGCTACTCAAGAGGTTGAGATCTGAGGATCAAGGTTCAAAGCCAGACTGGACAGAAGAGTCTAAGAGACTCTTATCTTCAATTAACCATCAGAAAACCGGAAGTGACACTATAGTTCAAAGTGGTAGAGTGCTAGTCTTGAGCTAAAGAGCTCAGGGACAAGCCCTGAATTCAAGCCCCACAACCAACAACAACAACAAAAAAAGTGAACCTCCAAAAATTTTGAAGACAGAATATATTTTGCCTCTGAAAACATTAGAATCTTTGATTATCTGCTCACTTCTCTGTATATGCAAGGAGAGAGACAGTTCTGGTTTGCTTGGAGATTTGTCCTTTGAGCTGTTGAACATATCTTCTTGTGTGGAGGGAAAGTTGTACAGTATTGGAATCTGAGCAGCTACTAGTATATGAGCACTACCTTGGAGGATGATGTGTGTTTAACAGAGAGGAGGAAAGATACTACACCGTTGAAGGTTGAGTGGAAGGAATGTCGCCAGCCTTCTAGAAATCTCCTAGAAGAATATACTGTTCTGTACTAGGCTAGAGTTAACCCTGAAACACTGGAAGTTAGGCCAAATGCTAATTAACATGGAAGAGTAGGAAACCAAGCAGTATTAATCTCACAGTGTTGACTTCAAATGTCTTGATATTCTATCCTCTTTACCCCATCCTTCCTCTATTTGCAGCCTTTTTCTTAGAACTAAAAGGCATTTTCTTTGGAAATAACATTCAATGTTATGCAAATTAATCTCTTACACCTGACTCTAGCTGTCAAGCAGTTCATGCAGAGATAAAGAACCTGGACTCTATTAGCAAATACTTAAGTATACAATTAAGTATTGTTAGCTGTAAGCATTATCCCATACAGAAGATGTATTCATCTTGGATTTACTCATCTTTCATAATTAAATTTTTGGACCCTTTGATTAGCACCTCCTATTTCTTCTCCCACTAATCTCTGGTTATCATGATTCCACTCATTCTATATGTATATAACATTACACAGCATTTGACCTTCAGTGTCTGGCTTATTTCATTTAGCATAATGTCCTTTGGCTTTGTCCATTGCTCACAGATGGCAGAATTTCCTTCTTTGAAAAAACATTTTGGGAAGGCAGATTTTCTGTTTAGTATGTTATCACACACAACAATAAGAATGATAAATAAGATGATGGGAGAAAAGCTGGGTGCCTAGCGAATGATAAATAAGACAATGGGAGAAAAGCTGGATGCCTAGCTACTGAAGAAGCTCTGATTTGAACATCAAGGCTTGTCCCAGCAAAGTCTGTGAGACTTATCTCCAATTAATCACCAAAAAGGCAGAAGTGAAGCTCTGGCTCACCAGAGCTTTAGAGCATCAGCTTTTGAGTGGAAAAAGCCAAGAGCACAGGGCCCTGAGTTCAAGCCCCAATGCCAGCACACACACACACACACACACACACACACACACACACACACACACACACACACACACACACACAAACGGTGGAAAGAAAGTTGGAGTTGGCGTATGACTTTGTACGTACATTAGAGTGGTGGTTTCACAGATGTGTAGACTTAACTCCCAAGTTCATCAAGTTGAATACACTAAATATGGGCATCATTTTGTATATTAATCTTACCACAATAAAGTGGCTTAAAACTGTGGATGTGAGTTCTAACTCTGCCACTGTTATTTCAAAGAGTAACCAAGAAACTTAACCTTTCTCTCCTCATGTATTGAAGGTGATGGCAGTGGTACTCAGCTCCTGGACCTTGGTGAAGACTAAATGAATATATGCTGTTCTTTTCAACCAGCTCAGATACATGCAACGCCCTTAGCACATTCTCACTTATTATTAATATCCTTCTAAAATAAATATTCAGCTTTAAAGAATATATCTGAGGCTGTATCACAACAGGAGATTCACCTAAGCTTTAGTTACTGGAGAGTTATAATCTACTCTCTCAGGTCTAGAGTGACAGTGAGGAACATTCAAAGAAAGATTAAACACTTTCAGCCTTGTAAGGTAAAGCCATGTCTGAGAAATCCAAAGAGAAAGGAAGGTGGGCCAAAAGAATAAACAATGAACTTTTTTTTCCATTTTCACACATTCAGATTCTAACATCCATCCCGTGTTGCTCAGAATTCAGAAAGCAGCTCTCACAGGCTTTCAGAAAGAGAGCCTTCTTCTACTCCCTCTACTCCATTCCACCTCTGGAGCCAGATGCCCCTAGGACAGAAATGACAATCTCCAAGGGCAGGAAGATGCAAAGACCAGGAATTTGACATTGGAGGGACTGAGCTGTCTGCTCTGCAGTCCTTAGAGATCCTCTAGACGGCTCCTCTGATAGTTTTGCATTTCTCCTTGGAGGCAGAGAGTCCAGCAGGATGGATGAGACTTGGCTGTAAAGCACAGAGATCCTGAGTGCATAGATTATTTTGCTTTCCATCAAATGTAGTCTCTAACTTTTTCTACTGCTGACATGTCAAGTAGCAACCGCTGGGTTTCTCTTCCACATAAGCACCAAACAGGCAGTGGGATATCTGGAAGAAGATACTTGGTCAATTTTTCTATCTCTATATAGAGAGATGTAAATCCATTCCACTTTTTTTTTTAAAGGCCAAGATGAAAGCATCTCTCCAGGTGTCCTGGGCTAGGAAGCAGTTGGAGCCATAGCCACCCTGCTGGCCCACAGGGAGAAAACACTGGAGAAAGCTTTTAGCAGCAGGGAATGTCCAGGGCATCCTGTGCAACCTGCCTTAAAACTAAACACCAAAAATAATGCTGTAAATTGGAGAGTAGGAATCTGGCCAAAATACTTGCATCAGGAGCAACAAAGGTATTTCCAATTCTAAAAAGAATTGTCATGCAAAAATGCAAAACAGAGCCTGCATCTTAGTCAAAGATCCAATTAAATAACAAGACGAACAAAATCTCCCATGGCCCTGGATGAATAGTATGCAGCCATCTCGGTAAAGGTGATATCCCAGAAGCACAGGGGAGAAAGAGCACCCATTGTGGGGGACTGAAAACCCACAAATGATGTCTTTTTTGTACATAAAACTGAGATAATTTCAACTAGCCATAATAATTTAGAGTTTTGTGAAGAATAAATGGGGTGCTCAAGCTGGGCACCAGTGACTCACGCCTATAATCCTAGCTACTTAAGAGGCTGAGAGCTGAGGGTCTCAATTTTAAGCCAGCCCAAGCAGAAAAGTTTGTGAGATGCTTATCTCCACTTAACCAGCAAAAACAGCCAGAAATGGAGCTTTGACTCAAGTGGTAGAGTGATAACCTTGAGCAAAAATAGCTAAAGAACAGACCCAGGCCCTACATTCACGCCTTAGTCCCAGCCCCCCACCCCCCCCCCCCCACACACACACACATACACACAACCAGAAGAGTGAAATAGGGTAATGTGTTAGAAATATCCAGTTTAGAGGACAGACAGGAAACAGAGAATTCCCTGAATCTAGAGGCCATGGGATTGGAGAGGGGTTATTCATTAATTCGTTGCTGAGAAGAGGTTCCAGAGATGTGTTGGTAAAGGTCCACTGCATCATCTTGGCAGGGGTAACCTAGTGTTTTCAGTGTCACTTCAGAGTAGAAGAAGATCCCGTGCCAGACTGGTTGAGAAATGACCAGATAGCTCCAGAAGAGTCTAGATGAGGAAAGAACTTCATTCTTTTAAGAGGTAGCATCACCTCAAAGTCTCTGTGCAAATCTAAAATCTGGTTTTCATACAAAGTTAAAGGTCTGCAAGGTTTTACTCAGACTTTTCTGCTTGAGTTGACTTCAAACTTTTAATATTCAGATCTCAGCATCCTAGTAGCTAGGATTACAGGTGGCCAGCCTATCCCTAGACATTTGATTATCAAGAACAATCTCAGGAAACTATAATACCTTTTCTTGTCTGAATTAAAATAAATCTGTTCACATCCTAGGATGTATTTTATGTTTTATTTAAAAACAAAGAGTTTCTCATGCTTCATATGGAGCAAAACAAGGACTATGCCCTCTGCCAAGTCTGTCTCCTTGTTTTAGAAGTGTAGCTCGTGAAGAAATCTTAGAAACCTTTTTAGGCCCCTCCTCTTCTAGGTGACACTGAGGCCCAGGAAGAAGTGATGGGCCTTGTGGTTACATTCCTGAACCCCCTTCTGAGGCTGTCCTTACCCAACTGCATGGTGCCCCCTTTCCGGGGGTCAACAGTCACCTCCAACTTCCATCCTGACACACACAGGTGTCTAGGAGAAAAGGGATCACTTTCCTTCAGGAGTTCTTAATCAACACTTGCCTTTCCCATACTCTTCTCTGTCTTATGTCTCTCCTCCAGGCAATAACAATACCATATGACAGGACCAGAGAAGTCAGCCACGTGGTCAAAGCAAGTGCACTTGCACATACTCTTTGTAGTCTGCTTTCTATTGCTGCAACTGAATGCCAGAGCCTAGATGACTTGTAATAGTTATACTTTATAAACGTTTAACTTATAACTAACTCTCATAACTTATGAACACAGTTCTAAAGGCTGGAACTTAGTCAAGCCTTGTGCTGGCACCTAACATTCTGCCCCTCCATCATACCATGGCAGAAGGCAGGCATCTCATGATGAAATGAAACAAGCATTCTGATTCATGGCTGTCTTCATTTTCTTACAAAGCTGCTAATAATGCAAGTCTCCACCTTACCTAATCCTCATCCTCCAATCCAGGGTCCCTACCTCCAAATGTCTTTCACAAGTAACCCCAGGGATGAAGTTTCCAGCCCATGAACTCTGGGGCTGCATACCTCTACCTTAGCCATGCTTCCAAGCGGCAGCTACCCAAGGGCAGCTCCTGCACAGTGGGGCCATGTGTGAGCTGATCCTTGTATAACCATTCTCCTCTGGAGAAGATGCATTGGCAGGAACTGACCTGCATTGGCAGAAACTCTTCCTTGCCAGGACCCTGCGTTTGGGCTTCTTGACGATCTGCTTTATTTTTACAGCTTGTGGATTACCGGGCAGAGTTCAGCAAATGGTGGCTGACTGAGTTCAAAACAGTCAAGTTTCCTTCCCAGGGGACAGTGTTTGACTACTACATAGACCCAGAGACCAAGAAATTTGAGCCTTGGTCCAAGCTTATCCCTCAGTTTGAATTTGACCCTGAGATGCCCTTGCAGGTGAGTATGGTGAAGTAACCAAACTGTGAGTGCCAGAAGATCTGCACAGCCCTCCATGGTGACCCCTAGGGCAACCTTACATCTGACCTTGTGAGGAGTCAGTCGACCTCCAGCTACTTGTCTTTTCAAATCACAGGTGTAATGAGGCCACAGGTGCCTCGAAAAGACAAGAAAATGTACCAGACGCAACTAGCATTCTAGGGACAGAAGGGAGTTGATGGACGGCAGGTCCAAAAGATTCTAGAATACTTTGGCAAGGCCATGGGGGGGCAGATGAGAGTGATGGAGGGTAATGGGGGGGGTGCTCTCTGCTGAACGTAAGGAAGCCCTGGGAATGAGTTCATAGGACAAGCTTGCTGTGGGTGTCAGGCAAGACCTTCTAGACCTGCATCTATTTGATGAGGCACATTGCCATAGAATCCTCTCTTCTGGAATGCTCCAGAATGCTGGGTGATGCACTGGTACCTCCCACCAACCCCTGGCATGCTTATCATGACCTCAATACAGGCCTGCTTGGTGCACACAAGTGAAACCATCCGGGTGTGCTACTTCCTGGAGAGGCTCATGGAGCGGCGGCGGCCTGTCATGCTAGTGGGACCTGCGGGCACAGGCAAGTCAGTACTGGTGGAAGCAAAACTGGCCAGCCTTGACGCTGACGAATACCTGGTGAAAAATGTGCCTTTCAACTACTACACCACATCAGCCATGCTGCAAGGTAAGGGGCCTGGAGTGTCCATGACTGGACCACTGTTATCACTTGATGCGGAACTGGGGTGGAGCATGTGATGGCTGTGTGGCTGCAGCTGCTTCCGGCACCAGCACACATTCCATTTTCACCCCTTCCTCTCTGCTACTTCCCTAGCACCCATCCCTCAGAACACTCCCTGTTCTTTCTCCCTCACGTCTGCCTGACTTGGTCTATTCCTCAGAACAACGCAATACTCTGAGGGCAGAGAGCTGAATGCCACTGAGAGTTGGGTGTAGACTCACAGACATTAGGCACCAGCCCTCATATTTTGTAGATGGGAAAATAGAAGCTCAGGTAAGAAGATGACTTCTCAAGGTCACTGCCAAGAGGAAAGCTGTCTGATTCTTTTCACCATCTGAATTCACAGTGTTATTCATTCTTCGGTTCACGTTTTCTCTGTCATTATCGTCTTTAAAAAAAATTAAGTTAGTATCATAAAAGTGAGGTACAGAGGGGTTACAGTTATGTAAGTCGGGGAAAGAGTACCTTTCTTTTTGGACCATGTCACCTCTTCCCTCCCTCTCTTCCAGTTTTTCCCTCCCAGGCCCATCCACAAGTTGTATAGCTCCTTTTCAACATACTGTCTAGTGACACTATGCTGCTGCATTTGTTCACCCTTTGTCCCTCCATTTCTGTGCCACCCTTACCCTGCCAAAGACAGATAAATGAACAAAGAAAAAAACAGTGTTTCCATTTCCTGGTCTCTGTCACTATCTTAACTGTACAAAACAAATCAAGTCCCGATTTGTAGAATTTGCCCATTTCTGTGGTATAAATACTCCCCATTAGAGCTGAGTATGATCAATCACTGCAATGTCTGTGAACCCAGGACCAGGAAGAGATGTGCCTTCGCACACCACTGCAAAGTCCTGATGCTTCACAGATACAATAGATGGAAATAACTTCAAGGGCACAGGGGTAAAAATGTAGGAAATGAATTAGGATGTGATGCATCTTGAATATTTATCATCATTGCTTCTATTAATTTACTTGATTATAAGTTTCTTCATGTATTTTCAAATAATGGATTGTTTAACAACTAGCATGGGAAAAAAAATCCCAGCTTCACAGGTCAACCCTAGGAAATTGCTTCATCTTTATTCCTTGAGGCCTAGATACTCTCACATCACCCAATGTCCCAAATTTCCCTTGTGGCTGGGTACCATCCCATTAATACCAAGGAGTCAGTGGTAGTAAGAAGATTGCCTGTGCCTGGTTGGTTCAAATGTGATAACTCTTCAGTCTGCCTGCTACAACTCCTCTTTTCTGTTCAAACATTTGCAAGCCTTGAGTCCAACAACTGCTCAACTACAATACTACTACTAATATAATAATAATGATGATGATGATGATGATGATTTACACCAACACTCACCAGGTATGTCTGGCACTAATTTGGCTTAAACTTGGATACTTTTTCCCAATTAGCACCAATTAGTTGTACAAGTATCCTATATATCCTGATCAGAGTCACACACTGCGTAATTCTCCCTCTTCTCCTCTCTCTCTTCCCAAATCAAATCCAGCAAGTTTCCTTGTTCCATTTTTCACTCATGTCCATAAAGTATTTTTACTATATTTGCCCTCCTTCCCTTTCTCAATTTATCTTCCCCTCTCCCACTCTTTCTTTTACTCCAGACAACACGTTTCAAATTTCTAATGTTTATTTTTTTCTAAAATATAAACACAAGATCAAACACACAGAAACACACACAAATACATGCACATACAAATATATATATGTCTATATTCATCTGTATGTATGTTGTATGCATGTGTGTAGACATGTGTATATGCATGCATTGTCTATGTATATGCATATGTATATGTGTGTCCATAATACATGCAAATATATATATACTTCTACCATGACCTTTTTGAACAATTAACTTCTTTAGACTTAGTCTTATATCACCCTGTGAAGTAAATGCTGGTGTTAACTTCTATTTAATTGAAGAGGAAATAGAGATGTAGGGAAGTTACATGAGCTGCCCTGCAGCTCACAGGGTGCATGGACACAGCTGACAACCAAGGTAGCTGGACTATAGAACCTGTGCTCAGCCAACAGACCCTCCTGCCATCCCCAGGAGAAACTGCAGGAAGGACCTGCTGGTGTTATCAGTAGACATGCCATTTAGGTACTGTAGAGGCATGATTTCTTATAATCTCATTAAAATAGTTTTATAATGTTAAAAAAAATTAGAGGATAGAAATTTAAAGCTGAGGGAGAGGCGATGGATTTATCCTGTGAGTCTCTGCATTTTTAGTGTAGAGGAATTTTTTCTTTCCTCTCTTCTCATTGGGACCTGAGGAATTATTCAAAGAAGTCAACAAGGATTGTCCAACAGAGCTAGAATGAACACTGGCTCTCACTACAGATAGACTTTCACCAAAACAGCCCTTTCTGTCCCTTATGGCTTCCCTGGTGGCTGTTGCATAGCGGAGGTGGCTAATCCACCTTTCCTGCCATCTTACCAATCCAGAACCAACTAGAAAAAGATGGACAGCCACCCACAGAGCAGCCAGCCTGTGTATCATGGATGCCTAGAGTAAAGCCTATGCCCATGGCTCTTAGAGCCACTGTTCTTGTACCTGGAACCTCCTTGTTTTCATAATAGCCCAAACAATCCTGATTTTATTTAACTTCTAATTCAATTTGAGAAATAACAAGGTGGTAGGAAAAAGAGGGTTCCCGACACTTAAGGTTGTGGGAGCCAGAAACCCAGTATTAAAGAGGGAACTCTGAAAAGGGAGATCCAGAAACTCAAAAGATGGTTGCTCAGGTATCACTCAGCACGGAGGCAGACCTGACCCATGAGCCCATCACCCAGTGCTATGAGTGCTATTAGTACTTCAGATCCTGAGGATTTAAGAAAGGGCTGAAGGTCACGTGGCAAAGGTTGCAATGGACAGCTAGTGTACCCAGACAGAAGTGTACATGTATGCTTATTGTGTGACCTCCATGGAGACCATGAGACCCAGCTGAATTTATTCACTAGGCGGAAGTGCCAAGGAGAATTACTAAAAGCAAGGGGATCCTGCATGTTTATTCCAGGAAATCCTGGGGTTAGAAACATTTCCAGTTTGTGATTGAAAAAAGCAAGATATAGAGCAATCTATGTACCACACTCCAAATCATGTCTGTTTAAAATATACATACTTAGATATATATGTACTCCCATATGACATTTTTTAATTTGTAAAGGAAAGGACATTTGTAAAGGAAATGACATTGTCCTAAAAAAGGAATGTACTCATTACCTGACTTATGAAATGGTAACCCCTCTGTATAACACCTTAATAATATATATATGTATATAATTTTGTCATATATAACTCTCACATACATCACTTCCTATTTATAAGTATATACTTAAGAGCATACAAGGGTATGGGACACCAGTGGCTCACACACACCTATAAGTCTAGCTACTCAGCTGGGTCTGAAATCTGAGGGTCAAGGTTTGAAGTCAATAAAGGCAGAATAGTACATGAGACTTAGCTCCAATTAACCAACAAAAAGTGGAAAGATGGGTCAGATAGCAGAGTGCCATCCCTGAGCAGAAAGCCAAGTGTGAACACAAGGCCCTGAGTTCAAGGCCTAGTACTGCCACACCACACCACACACACACACACACACACACACACACACACACACACACACACACACACAGAGGATATATAAGGAACCACTATGATCAGCTGTCTCTGACAAAAGGAACTAGACACAAAAAGTTGAATGGCAAACTTTTTTTTAAAATTATAAGATGTTTCAAGCAGGCAGAAAAGTACAGAAAATAATATACCAGATGCCCATGTACTAGTCCCCAGACATAACAGATGCTAGAATGTTGTCGTTTTACATGGTCTTAGCATTGTAAGTACAGCTAATTCTCCAGCCTCATCCTTCCTACAGCCTGCTACTTTCCAAACTAGGGACAAAAGTCAGTGTGTCTCATTCCTTAGTTAAACTTTTGAGACATATATGCATTCATAAAATACATAATGTTTCTCTCTCTGCTAAAATTTTAAATCTATACCTCATTGTATTTTCATGTGGAAAAGGAAAAAAAAAAACCTTATGTTTTTAATCAGTGATTTGCCACATGTAGGTTTATTTCATGCCTATTCACTGCTGGGTGAATTCCAGTGTGTAACAAACACAGCCCATCTATCCTCTGTCCATCCTTAACTTCCCTGTTTTAAAGTTTTATTTGGGGATAGCTGACATGTCACAAATTACTTATATTAAGCTATACCACTTAATGTGTGTTTATACTTTGTTTTTTGGTACCATTCTGGGGCACCAAACTCTGCCGGGGTGCTGTCCCTAAGCTTTTGTTGCTCAAGGCTAGCACACTACCACTTGAGCCACAGCTCCACTTCCAGCATTTTGCTGGTGTATTGGAGATAAAAGTCTCACAGAACTTATTCAGGCTAGCTTTGAACTGCCATCCTCAGATTTCAGACTCCTAATTAGGATTACAGATGTAAGCCACCAGCGCCTGGCTTTAAAAAATTTTTTACATACCCATGAAACCATCTACCTAGTGGAAATTATGAACATATTCACTTCCAAAAGCTTCTTTCCTATCTATGACCTCTCGCTCCCACTATCCTCCACCCCTCTTTCCAGGCAACCACTCATCTGCTTTCTACCACAATGATTCATTCGTGTTTTACATAATGGATCCACATAATAAGAATGTGATTTTTTTTAACCACCTTATTTCATTCAGCATGATTTTGAGATATTTTCGTATTGTCAACTATATCAATAGTTTATTCTTTGCATTCTTGAACAGTAAGGTGAAATTTATAAAACATTTCACATGACTGTGGACGTACTATGGATACTTGGTAAATAGAAGCTATTAGTCTAACAGCACTAGCAAAGTGCTTCTCAAATCTAAGAATCTATATTATGCAATAATTCCTGAGCTCCAAATGCCAAAACAAGAACAGAA